CTGACCCTGCCCGCTCCTCACCCTGCTTGGGTCTGGGTCTGTTTGGGGTTTCTCTGTCCCCACCACCGAATGTCACCACTGTGAGCTCCCCGGCCTCTCTAGCACTTAGCACAGGGCTTGGCATGATAGGGATGTGTGACGACCCAGACAAACTGAAGGGCTGAAACTGACTTCATCCTTTCAATTCCATCCACTTTTTCTCGGCTTTCATATGTCGTGCCCTGATCCAGACGTGTTTCATTTTTCAGATGCATTCCTAGATCTTCGAGTGTTCGGCTTGGCCCGGGTCTGAAAGAATGTGTAGGCCTCCTCAAACGAAAACAAGACGGAGAACTGAGAGCCAGAGAAGCCAAAATACGTGGCCCAGATCCCAAGATACTTGTGGCAAAGAATCTGTCACATGTTTCTCACTCTGGTTCCTCTTCTGGGCACCCACAGAAAGATCACATTTCCCAGCCCCCCTTGCGATGAAGTTAGGGACCTGTGACTAGTTCTGGCCAATGAAATATGAGCCTAAGCAATGAGTATCACTTCCGGTCTGAAGCACCCCTCTTCTCCAAGGTGACCTTGAAGACCACCAGTCCAGATCAGTGAGCCACAAACTGTAACGTGCGTACAAATCTCTTGGGGGTCTTATTAACATGCAGACTCTGATTCTGGGGTGGAGCCTGGGATTCTTCACTTCCAACAAGCAACTGGGTGATGCGCATTCCTCGGAGCAGACATCTGAGTAGGGAAGAGCCACAGGGTGCAGCTCCAAGGTGAAGAAGACCTGCCCAATTTCACTGGACCATTTATGAGCACGAGAAAATCTTCGTTTTCTTAAGTCACTGAGATTTAGGGGTTTCTTTGTGACCTCAGCATAGCCTAATGTCTCCAGTAAACACATTGGAATAGGAAATTGTCATTTAGTCATTCAACCAATATTTACTGACTCCCTACCGTGAACTCATTCTGTGCCCTGGGCGCCTCACTCCTTGGGAGGCCCTCATTCTGAGGGTTGTGCAAGTGCAACGTCGGCATCTGTGAGAGCTCTTGACGTGCGTCCCCAGGTGCCCCTTTCATCCCTTCTGCCTTTTCTTCCTCTGTGGTGGGAGCCAGGATTTGAAGCTCACACCTTTTGACTTATGAGCCTCAGTCTGTTTCCGGCAACACCAAGGGCAGCCGGGCCTATTCTGGGGTCACATTTGGGGGCTGCAACAGCAGCCAAAGTATTTGTGGATTCCCTGGACTGTCACATCCCTCCGGTGCCAAACTTGGTGGTTGGGGGTCTGAACCACCTGTAAGCAGTCAGCAAAGTGGTGGTTTCTGCCACAGCCCTTCGACGCTTTGAGCTGCATTTGAAGGATCATCCCTCACACATTCACTGCCAGACACACGCTGCCAGCCGCGTGCTTCCCGAGCCAGGCAGGCCGCAGGGCCTCCCGCTGTCCCCACGTACCCATCCTCAGTTACTAGAGGGAACAAGTTCCAAGCAAAAGCCACGCACCGACTCAGACAGGCCCCTCTGGGCGGGCGGCGATGCTCCCACTCCCCTCCTGTCACCTCCCTGGGCAGCTGGCCCTCCTCCCCAGCTCACTGTCAGCGGAGGTTTCCCGATACTGATGTGGTTGGTGTCACTGCTCAGTGAGCCTCTGTCCTGCTCCTCCTCACCCCTCCTTCCTCTCCCGGCTCCTTCCCGGCCTCAGAGAAAGCAGTGCTTCAGAACTGCTCCTCCCAGGAAAAACTCCCCAGCGGTGATCGATAGTGACAGAGTCGGAAGGGGCAGAAGTACAGTCTTAGAAGGGGCATGAGGGAACTTCTGGAAGTGTACCTGGCTCTGGGTGATGGGTCCATGGGTGTCTACACAGGTAGAGAGTTGTCTACATACACACACACACATATATGCTTATGTATACATAAGCATATAAATGTATACATAAGCATATATATATGTATCCCCTCAGTTAAAAAAAATAGATTTCACAGAGAGCGCTATGAGAAGTAGCAAAATAAATGACAACAACAACCACAATGTAAGTGTGGAGTCACGGGGACCTGTACTAAAAATCTGGCTGTTGTCTCGCTGCGTGATGTTGAATAAGTTACTTAACCTCTCTAACCCTCACCTTTCTAATTGCAGTGTGGACTGGGAGGGTCAGAAACACCACTTCCTCATAACAAGTCCTTGGCTCAGGGCTGGCTCCCACTGGGCACTCAATACATAATCATTTTTATTGTCATTAAAATCAGTGGCCCGCCCTGGCCGGTGTGGCTCAGTTGGTTGGGGCATCTTCCCAAAACTGAAGGCAAGTGGGTTCGATTCCCAGTTAAAGAGCACACACGTAGGTTTTAGGTTCAATCCCTGGTCCAGATGGGTTCAGTGTGGGCGTGAACAATTCCGGGTCTGGGCGTGTACGATAGACAACCAATCGATGCTTCTCTCTCACAGTGATGTTTCTTTCTCTCCCTTCCTCTCTTCTTTCCTCTCTTTCAAAAAAAGTGATGTAAAAAAAATGTCTTCAGGTGAGGATTAAAAAAATAAAACCAGTGGCCCTACAAGGACAGAACATGGGAGTGACCTTCCCATTGGGTCACACTGTCTATAGAAAATTTAAAGATAAAATAAAATCGAGGCAAAGCCAGTCTGCTTTCTGTTATCACCACGCACTGGCAAATCTAAATAATGTCAGTCATGAAGTATCCTGTCCTGAAAATATCCTTTTATAGGGTGTCTAAGTTCTAACTGTTGGATGTTATTCATTTATACGTAAGCTTTGAATGAGCACATTTTAATTTCTTGCCCTTTAGTAAACATATTCTGCAGGGAAGTTCGCTTGGAGAACCTCTAGGACTCCAGTCGCCCCCAGCACAGCTGAGCTGAGGAACACACCTTGGTCGAGAAAGTTCCAGATTCACTTTCCTTGCTTTAAGGATGGTCCCGGTCTCCAGCCCCATGGCGTTACTTACGTCTGCATCTCAAGAGGCTCCAAAGACACCATGACCGTAAGCGACAGCGAGGACACAGACACAGGGTGTTCAGTCCTGTCACTCCGTGCATCTACGTGGCGTTCGGTGTTTCAAATCACAAACAGTGAACAAGTGTGAACTGCGAAGGATGATGATTGTGTTTGGCACGCGCAGACTTTAGATCCTCCGTGAAATAGGCGCATATTTGCTTCATCTCACTGATGAAGCAAACTTATAACAACTTTTTTGTATAAAGAAGAAGGCAGGTGATCAAAAATGGTCCACTCTGGGTATAAAAATGCCCTAGGCATATCTCTGACTCAAATATACAAATTCATCTATCAACCACCTGTCAATCACTGAGTCAAGTATCTCTCCTTCCCTCCAAATTTGTGGGCACCCTATCCCTGCCCCCAGGCGACTTCCTCCAGCCATTTCACCCTCATCCTCGTGAACTCTAAGGAAAAACAGACGCCTACTAAGAAGGGCTCCTGGTGGCTAACTGGACTCGTTTTTTGTTTTTTGTTTTTAAATAAAAACAGAACCTAGCAGCCATTTCTGCACCGGGGCCACTTGCGCAAGCAGCACGTGGTAGAGAAGCCAGCTCTGAACTGCCTGACTCAGCTGAATCACCCGCCTCTGCCCTGTGCTTCTGCCACCTGAGCCAGCCCTTAAAAAGGAGTTTCTGGAATCCTATTTTAACATCTAGGACTGAGGCTTTCTCCATCCAATCAGAGCTGCACAGTTCTAGCCAATCAGAGCAGCTCTACTCTGACCAACCAGGACAGTGCCTTTTGGACCAATCAAACTTTGAGGATTTGGAGTCCTCATTTGCATGAGGGCAAACCAATTGGAAACCAGGGGTAGGGACTCCCGTCCACATAAGCCAGCTCCCCTCTGACTCAGACAGTTCCTTTCCACCAGAGCCTGAAGATTGTGTCTACCTGGCTGAGCTCTAGCAGGAGAGGGGCCTGACCCGGGGCCACTTCACAGCCTTGCTGTAGTAACAGCCCGAGTGCAGTGGAGCTGTTTTGCACTGGATAAAATCTCCTTCTTCACTGCCTCCTAAACTGGGGATTCCTGTTGGTACTGAGTTGGCACCAATGAGCATCAGTTGACATCCTTCACCCCCCTCATCTTCTTCCCCTAAGACTGCATCCCGGGGGTGACACCCCCCTGATGAAAAATCCCTCTGTCTGACACCAATATCGAGTCACTCTTCTTCCTCATTGGCTGCCCATTCCAGAACCCCCCGTGGTCCAGCTCCCTCCTGCTGAGGTTTGAGGTACTGGTGAAGACTATGGGGGCCAAAGGGTTCTCCACTCACCCTTTGACCTCACCTGTTATCTTTGCCTCAATCTGCGGTCAAAGCTGTCATTCACAACCTCATCCCTCACTGGCTGGAATGTCGTAAATGTGTCCAAAACACTGGTGGCTTGAATTTCGGTCTCTTGCTCCCCACGTACGACACCACACCCCTCCTCATAGTCAGCTACAGTCCACCCTGGGCACCTGCAGCTCCCAGAGCGATGCTGGCATATCATGCTCTCTCCTCCTCTAGGTGTACGTACATGCTGTTCCCTCTACCTGGAACATTCTGTCCTCTCTGACCTCACCTTTCCTTGGCTGTCTCAAAAGGTACCTCCTTCAGAAAGCCATCCCTTGCCTTCTGTCTCAAGAAGGACCCCTTCTTGGTGTGCCCAGAAACTCCACCTGTTTTCTCCCTGGCACCTCCCACTCTGGGCTTTGACCCAAAGTCTCTGCTGTGTACCTAGCCCCTGCAGGGGCCCCCCAAGATGGCTGAACTACACGACATGGACTTGGTTCTTCCAGATCGTGGTGCCCAGCAAGCTCCGGTGCACCATAGGCCCAGCCTGCGTGGGCTCCTCCACCTCAGCCGCCTGCCAGAGACCGGAAAGCAGGCCCTGGGGAGGCCCCTCGTTGCCAAAAGCAAACAGGCCGCCAGGGAAGTTTTGCGTTGGGTCACACCCGCCTCTGGGTGGCTGCCAATCCTCCTGCCAGAAACCGCAGGCCCTCCGAAGCGGCCCAGAGACCGGGCCACAGGGCTTAGGAGAACTCGGGGCAGCTCGGCTGGGGGGTGTCTGCCCAGCACTTCCTGGATCCACAGCCCCCCCGGGGTTGGGCAGGGGGTCTGGGCAGGGCTGCAGCAGCCACAGCCAAGGCGCGGGGAGGCTCTCTTGGGCTGGGAGGAGCTAAGAGCCCCTGCCAGCCTGTCACAGGCTCTTGGTGCTGACAGTGGCTCTGGCTTTCACACACACACCCTGGCGGGCACCCCCTTGGTGGCCTCCATAGTCTCACCTTCAGGTAAATGGTGGGAGGCTGTGGATGGGGAGAGGAGCAAGGAATGCAAAGACCTGTATGTGTGCGTGTGCGTGTGTGTGTGTGTGTGTGTATGCATGTGGGAGTGACCTCACAGCCTGCAGAACTTAAAGACTTATAGGTCCCGCCTCCCAGGCTCAAAGCTGGCTCCGTGGGGGACACAGTTAACATGAGAGGCACACCTCAGACACACCTCCTGGCCTTCTCCTTCCTCTGCCTCCTCTCAAAGGTAAGGGGGCCCTGCGGCCCCAAAATATACTGCTGGCTCTTGGGTGTGGTGGGGGAGGTGTGAAGTCCCTGCAGGGCCCCGTGCCGGGCTCAGCCAGGTCTGCCTCTTTGGTGCCCAGACGGCTGCCTCTGCTATGTGACCTCAAGCAGGTCCCTTCTCCTCTCTGAGCCTCAGCTGCTTCCTCCATGGAATGGGCACCATGTTCATGAGGCTTTTGTGAGGATCCCTTTTGGTGATTCATCTAAAGTGCTTAGCAGAGGACCTGGCGTGTGGCAAAGGTTCAAAAGAGGTTTTTATGATTCTCACCCAGCCCCACAACCCTCGACAAAGCAGAAGTGGGAGTCCTCTTCAGAAATGAGACTCTGAGCGTGACCTGCTTTGCCTAACAACCAGCCAGGATTTGAATGGATGTTGGTGTCTAACTCACTGGAAAGTTCAGACTTCAAGGGCATTAATGCTATTGGGTCCTCAGGCAGTGAGTGACCCACTGATCCTGGCTAGAGGGGACGGAGAGATGCCTCCATGGAATAATGGCTTTCCCTTATGGGACATTTTTTCAAAGGGCTTATGGCACATCTGCTCTGTCTAACATGCCCAACAACCCTATCAGGAATTACAAGCTTATTTTCAGTCAAGCAAGGCTCAGAGAAGGTTAGCAAGTTACCCAAAGCCACACAGTAAAGAAATATCAGAGCAATAGAGGAGTAGAGCACAGGAGAGGCCTGGGTCTGTGGGGCTGGGGACTTCAGCTGGTGGCTCTTCACCCCCACCCTGGACTTGGCCGCAGCTGCTGGGCCCTGTCATCCCCTCAGTGTTTGCCGAGTCCCTGGTCCCTTAGGGACTGGCCCCACCCCAAGCCACCACCTCCCCGTACTTTCATGCTCCTTTGAGGAGCACAGGCAGCAGTTTCTCCCTTCGGGTCCCAAGCAGCAGTACAGGGAAGCCCGAGAACCTACTGGCCCCCCTCCATCCTGCTGTTTGTTCTGCCAAAGAGGGTGGGCAGCCTACAATGCCAGGGTATGTGGCTGGGGTAGCTGGAGCAGGGAACTTGGATTTCGGGGCCCAGGATTTATTGGAAAACCAAAATGAAGCGGTCCCCAACTTGCTGTGCTCCCCTCCATTCCTCCCGGGTCCCAGGGAGTCAGGCAGCCTCCTACACAGAATGCAGGGACTTTGTCATCACGATCGTGGAAAGCCACCGCACTTGCAGAGAGAGAATGCCATGTCCTGTAGGCAGGCAGGCTCCTGGGCTCAGGGCTAGGGACAGAGGTCAGGCACAGAGACCTGGAAACAAGCAAAGTCGCGTTGACAAGAGCTGGCCATGACCTCACTTAATCTGATGCAGGTGGTCCCCACCCCTTTTTACTGAGGGGAAAACAGCTCCCTCTGCACAGAGCAGTTAAGGGAAGTGCTCAAAGTCACACGGCTAGCCAGTAATAGAACTGAGATTTCAACTCTCACCCAGAAGATTCCATGTCCAGGGCTCTGACCACAGAGCCTTGACCCCAGTGACCCCAGCAAGGGTCCAGGGAGGCTGAGGTGCGATGGGGAACTTGAACGGAGGGATGAGGTTGTTAGGATGGGTGTGGAGATAGAGGGAGACAAGAAAGAGCGTATTTCTCCTGGGGTATGCTGAAATGCCCTCCCTGACTTGTCATTACTCCTCTTGAACAAATGGGTAAACTGAGGCAGCAGCTAAACTGGCACCAGCGCTCCCAGAGAACAAGAGGTGGGCCTGGCAATTAAGAGCCAGGCCTTTGGATTCCCAGGCACTTGGATTCCGATCCTGGCTCTGCCTCTTACTGGGGATGTCGCTACCTTGCCTTGAGTTTCAGTCCTCCTCATCTCTAAAATGGGCGCAATGACAGTACCCACATCGGGGGCTTAAATTAGACAGCCTGTCAAGGGGCTCAGCGGGTGGTGCACCCACGGTGAATGTCAGCCATGGTCGTCAGTATCAAGAGAAGCCCCTCCTGGGCATCAGGACCTGTGGTCCAGCCCCTGCTGAGCTTGCTGGGTAGAAAGAGGCCGAAGCCAGCTGCAGAGCAGAAGTCCTATGTCCTGGGCTCCCTGCTCTCAGGTGGGAGGGAGCCAAGGGCCAGTTCTGGGCAGAGTTCCCCACTTCCCACTAACCAAGTCAGCTGAGCCTCCCATTTGCCAGGGAATCCCAACTTCCAGCCAGCCAATGGCCCCTCCGGTCAATTTCATGTAAATCACCTTTCGATTTATTGAAATGCAGATTTCGATTTGTAAACGAAGGGCCCTAGAGGCTGCACGTCTAAAGAGCTCCCTGATGGTGTTGCTGCTCCTGGTCCAGACCACATGTGAGGGGCGAGGTTAGGCCCGGCCATCTTGGCTTGAATCTCTTCAGTATCACCCAGTGCCCCGCCTGAAATTCCTGCAAAGGTTGCAACTCTAACCCTTGAAAGGCCCCAGGCACACGGCTGCTTACCTGCACCCATTGCTAGTGCCATTTTAGATGGGAGGCCCTCCAGCTCTGAGACGCCCCCCACCACTGCCAGAAGCAGGTCGGCCTATTTGGGGCACCCCCTCGTGGCCAGGGTGGGAACTTCAAGTCACTGAAAGCATGTTTGCAGACTAGGTGGGAACTGGGGCAAATGTGTCATTGCCTGTTTTGGGGCCACACAGGGGACATGAGGGCATTGGTTTCATCTCACTAACCTGCAAGTTTTCTATCCTCTGGATAAAAACACAGTCCTCCAAGGATTCTGCTAAAAATGGCCCTCCACGGATGGGGCCACTGGGACGATCTCAAATCATGCCTACCTCTTGGTCCCCCCGGCCTTCAACTGGATATATGGGGAGCCCAACGCATCTGGCTTCTGGTTTGGTTGTTTGTCTGTCCTGAGTGGGGAGGGGCTGCCAGGACATTGGAGCTGATTGACGCCTTGACCCTGCCCCCAGGGATGCGGGTCCCTGGCTCTGACTCTTCCCTGTCACAGAAAGAGTTGACCCCCCAACCTGGGACCCTGGGTCATGAGTGCAGAAGCAGGTGCCCAGCCCTGCAGCTAACACACTGTGACTTCTGGTACGTCCCTTCCATTCTCTGATGCTCAGGTGCCCCATCTGTACACAGCGGGGGGAGGGGTTAGACTGGAGCAGGGAAACCACAGATTTCGCTGTGCCTCAGATGCCCCTGAACAGCCTGTTACAAAGTCAGATTTCCAGGGCCCCACCTCTGGAAGTTCTGATTTGGCGAATCCCAGAGCAGGCCTGGGGGTCGGTATTTTATCAAGTTTCCTGGTTAATTCAATGCTTGTCCAGCAACATAGTCTGGATTGTTCTAAAGGTCAAAAACCTCCATGGTACTGTCTGATTTATTCAGCCCTCAAAATAAGTGTTTCCAGTCCACCTGCTGGAAAAGGTGTAGGAACCTGTGGTTTTAATCCTTCACTTGGCTGCTTTTGCCTTCTGTAAGCTCCTAGAGGGCAGGGCCGCAGCCTTTCACCGTAACCCACAATGACAATGGCCACTGCTTGACGCAATGAGCATCCGCTGTACCGCCAACCTGTGCTGGGGTTTCCCAGCCATCGTTGCTTGTGCCCCCCACAACAATCCCGTGAGGTACGTACTACTATTGCCCCCTTTTTACGAATGAGGATATCAAGGCTCAGAGAGCTTAAGTAACTTGCCCAAGATCACTCGGCTGATAAGGAGCAGAGTTAGGACTGGAACTCTAGTTCCAAGTGCATGTTCATGACCACGCTGAGTATCATGGGACTGCCAGCGTTCAAGGCCAGGTCTGTGTGATTCTGGGGCCAAGGGGTGGACCCCACAGAGTCCAGCCTGGTAGAGAGGTGGCCAATTGTGAGGGTCTCACTGCCCACCTTGAAAGACCATGGCTAAGTCAAGTCTCTCTCTCTGCAGGTGTGTGCCCAGCTGTGCCCAACACCATGTGTCTGCCCCTGGCCGCCACCGCAGTGCCCACTGGGGGTGCCCCTGGTGCTGGACGGCTGCAACTGCTGCCGGGTGTGTGCACGGCGGCTCGGGGAGTCCTGTAACCATCTCCACGTCTGTGACCCCAGCCAGGGCCTGGTCTGCCAGCTCAGGGCAGGGCCCGGCAGCCTGGGGGCCGTGTGCCTCTGTACGCAGGTTTGGGGGACGGATGGAGGGTGTGGTTGGAGGTGGGGGCGGTCAAGGCCATGGTGTCCTCAGTCTAAAGGAAACCCTCCTCTCCCTCCCTAAACCCTCACTTCAGGTACATCATCCACTTCAGCCAAGCATGGTGACCCCAAGTTCCTGAGGCCCCCTCCCTGCTGCTCCCCTCTTGTACTTCCTATAACCATGCCGCCACCTGAACGACTTTCCCCCATTCTTGTCCAAACCATAGGCAACTTGCAAAACCAAACCCAAACACCTCCTCCCCTGAGAAGCCCTCCCAGATTCTTCTAACCAGAAGTCATCATCCCCTTCTCAGGACCCTCACAGTACTTTTGGAAAAATAAAAGTGCAACCCCTTATTTAGGGCACAGTATATGTCAGGCACTGGGATAAGCACTTGCTACATAAATCACACAATGATCCTGTGAGGTAAGTACTTTTAGGCCCATTGCATAGATGAGGAAACTGAGATTCATAGATATTAACTGACATGTTCAATATCGCACAGCTTGGGGCCTGGTCCAACAGGCAGTAAGGCAACCTTCTGTCCGTCTTCCTGCTGGAGAGGAAGCCCGCAACTTGAATTCGGAGTTGGCTTTCACTTGTGAGCCTGAGCGTCTTACATCGTCTGCTACCTCCTGGGCCCTGGGGTCCCTGATGCTTCAGACCAGGTTCCCCGCTTTGCTCTAGGGACACGTGGAACCAGGTCATTCTTGCTGTGGGGGCTGTCCTGTGCTTGGTAAAACATTTAGCCATGTTTCTGGTCTCTACCCACTAGATGCCAGGGGCACCCTCACCCCCAAGTTAGGACAATTTGTGTTCAGACTTTGCTGAATGTCCCCTGGGGAGACAGTCACCTCCAACTGAGAGGCACTGCTTTAGAGAAATAGAAGTAAGGGATTCTCCCTCCCTCCCTCCCTCCCTTCTCTCTCTCTCTCTCTCCCTCTAACAATAAGCCTTGCAGAGCAATCAGCCCCTTCCATCCATGTGCATGTCACACTTTTACAACAATAAGAATGAGAGAGAGGGGCCCGTGAATCATGGACAATGAGTCCGTCTATACGAAAAACCCTGTTAACAAGCAAAGCAACAAAAGGTAGAGACAGGAAGCTACTCTTAGTGAATCCTTATTAAATAGTTCGTTGAATTACAGACGTATAATACTGAGGGGCAATTTGTTAAATAAACTCACAGATGATTGCTAATAAAAAATGTGCCTGAAAAAAGAAACGAGGCAAGTAGCAGCTTGTAAGGCTGATAGTCAGATGAGCCACGGCACGTGTAAAGTGATTAACAGCGAGGATTTATTGACATTGCATAGCACGTAGCACGTGCCAGGCGCTAAGGGTTTCACAAATATCGCCTCATTTGATCTCATGATAGCCATATGAGGTAGCTAGGTACTGATGCTATCCTGATTTTATAAATGGAAGAAGGAGACGCAGAGAGGTTAAGCCACTTGTGCAAAGTCACACAGCTCGTAAGTAGCTGAGCTGGGATTTGAACTCAGGAAGCTGGCTCCTCTATCTTAGTTTTCATTGCTCTACTGCCTGACACTGTGCTCGGTACCTGGTGATTGTTATTGCCAAGAACTTCATTAAGGGGCTTTTCAAATTTCATCTTGATTCAGATTCACCTGGAGGCCAAGGATTTACTTGGTCCTTGGCCCTTCCTACCACTCCCAGTCCTGGCCAGGCAACATGGTGGGTGTTCATGAATGTTTAATGATTTGAACTGAATTTAGAGGCTGGAAGCTGGTGAACCTCTCAGGTGGGCCAGAGTCAGCTAAGACCGCACAGGGGCTGAACTTGGCCTTGGCTCTTTGGGGGGAACTCCAAGCCCCTGATCTCCCACACCCCAAATGAGCAGCTTCCCCAGGTCAACTTCCCCGGGCTCAGGTTTGAAACCTTGGAGTCCTTCTTGACGTCTCTCCATTTTTGACCTCCCACATACTACCCACCTGCAAATTCTTCACAAGATTTCTAGAGCCTGACATTCTCAGTCCTTCCATTGCTACCACCCTGGTCTGAACCCCATCATCACCTGTCTGGATTTGGGAGCAACCCCACAAGTCTCCCTGCTTCTGTCCCTCATCTATTCCCAAAGGCTCCTTTTAATATAAGTCAGATCACGCCCCTCCTCTGCCTGAAAGCCCTCCAACAGCTTCTCATTTCCTCAGAGTAAAATGCAAAGTCCTCTTAGTGATCGACAAGGCCCCCACAGGGTCCTGATCCTCTTCAGTCTCTTATCCAATTCCTCCTCTCCATCCTGTTTTCTGCTCCAGCCCCACTGGCCTCTTTTCTGCACCTTCAATGCTCCAGGCGCTTTCCCACCTCAGGGCCTTTGCACCCGCTCTTCTCTGCACTGTGTTCTTTGGATCGGCTCCCTCCACAATGATCACCACATGTAAAACTCATAACCCTGCCCCACTCCTTAACCCTGCCCTCCTTTATTTTTCCAGCACTAATCTGATATCATAAACTCTACATGCTTGTTTATTGTGTTTATTTCCATTACAGCAGAAGTTCTGATGAAGGCAGGACTTTTGCCTGTTTGAGTCATTGCTGAATCACAGATGCCTAGAACAGTGCCTGGTGCATAGTAGTCACTCAGTAATTGTTGAATGAATGAATGAATGAATGATAACAATAGTTCTAGTGGGGCTGGCAGTAGCAGGCACCATTTATTGAGCATGTACTGTGAGCAAGCCCTAATAATGAGGTAGGTCCTGTCGTTATCCCTATTTTGCAGATGAGGGAACTAGAGCTCAGAGAGGTTAGATTACTTGCCTAAGGTCACACAGCGTGCAAGTAGCTGAAGGCAAAAAACAACCAAAACAAAAACAAAACAAAATACCCATGTTGTTCCTTCTCCTACAAGAGACTCTCAGTGGGGAAAAAGGATGCAGAAATCACCAGGTGACAGAACTGTGTTCTGAAATTATTTGGGGAAGGTTGCTGGACAAAGGAGCACTGGGGAGGGTCTGGAAGGAGTCGTGGATTCGGGGCAGCTGTGTGTGTGTATGGATGGATGTTGGACAGACCCAAGAGCGAGTGAGTTTGGAGGTGCCTCATGCTGTTTGGGACTCCGCCTGGGTGCCCCAGGGCCGGGGAGTGGCTGCCCAAGCGTCATCCCCCGCACCCAGCAGGCTCTGAGCTGGAGGACCCAGGAGAGGCGCCAGGAAACCTTGCTAAAATTATCACCCTCCAGCTGACTTTCCTAAACAGTCCCTCTGTTTACCAGGTCATCTCAGTGACCAAGAGGCCCAGGGCTGCAGCACCAGGGCTGGGCCAGGCTGGGGCTAGGGACTGAGGTGCAACTGCTCCTGCAGTTTCTGAAAACCAGCAGCCACATGGTCCAAGCCAAAACGTTGAGACTTGGAGCCAAAGGGCTGTGGCCAGGAAGGAACAAGGAGAGAGAGTTGACACTGGTCCTGTGCCCCCACGAGAAGAGACATCCCCACTCCCATTTATCGAGCATCTGCTATGTTCCGGGCTTGGGGCAAGATGCTTTAAGTGCACTAGCTCATTTAGTGCCCCAGCCATGCTGTGAGCAGGGTGCCGCGGCTCAGAGGGGTTGAATAACTTGGCCCAGGTCTCTCAGCTTTCAAGCGGGGAACTGGGGTTTGAACCCAAGTCTACCTGGTTCCAAAATTCCTGCGTGTATATGGACCTATTTGAGGTTTTTCTCTGAAAACCTGCTTGCCAACAAGTCCTTTCCAGGAGGCCGAATTGCCACCCACGCCTCCAGGAGCCCTCCGTATCGCTCCTGTCTTTGTACTTCCTGAGCAGCTCACACGCAGCTCTCCAGGACACGTTCCTGCATCGTGGAGATGATAAGTTTCACATCTGTCTCCCCCACTGGCCCCCGAGCCTCTCCAGGCAAAGGCTGTGTCTTAGCCCTGCCTCGGAGCGCAGTGGCTGGCACACAGAAGGGGCACACTACACGTCTCTGGAATTACCAGGAGTCAGAACTATTTTACCAGTGTCTCTTCTGTGCTGGGCCGTGTGCCAGGCAGTCATTCAAAGGACGTGGCTGTACCAGGGCGAACACTCTCAGCCCCAGGCCAGCAGAGGAAGTGTTAATAACGTGCATATCTTGAGGACTTCCTTCAGAGTGTTTTCCGAGCACCTACTATACGCTTAGCACTGTGCTACATACTATGTGCAAATCATCTTATGGCACTGAAGGTAGAGATCACTTCTCATCATTACTATTGGCCCAGTAGCTCAGAAAAGTGAAGCAACTTACCTAAAGTCACGCAGCCAGCCAGTTACGCCTCAACCTGACAATGATGACAACAAGCAGACGGATGATGACAGCCAGTGCGTGAAATTTCAGCGTGCGTGTCGCGGCTGCCTATTATTGATCCATCATATTCATGCCAGCAGCAACAGAGTGGCTAGGGTCTAATGTCTCCCTTATGCTGTATTCATCACACGCAAGTTCTCTCCACACGTGATCTCGTTTTGTTTAGTCTAGACCACAACTCCACGAGATACAGGGCGGGCAAAAAGTAGATCACGTGAGTGAGTACACAAAACTGAGTTTATTATTGTATTATTCACATCACAACCGTAAACCTACTTTTGCCGACCCCACTAAGTACCGGAAGAGGAAACTGAAGCATCTTAGAAGAAGTGAAATCGCTTGGCCTGGGTGCAGAGCTAAGAAAGGGGCTCAAACCAGGCCAGGCTGCTGGCGAGCCCTGTGCCAGGATCCGGCTGTGTTCCCGCGGGCGCCAGGCTGGCTGGCGGAGGCCCGAGGCGCATGTGGCCGGGCTGGAGCCCCTGGCAGTGCTCAGGTGTTCTAAGGGCGTGGCTGCCCGTGGGGCCCGTGGGGCCCGTGGGGCCCGGGCGGTCTTCAGACAGAGCTGTGTGGAGGATGCAGCTGGCTCAGCTGTGCGGGGCGGGGCGTGGCGCGGGGAAAGCTGGGGGTGGTCGCAGATGGAGGCCCTGTTTCTCCTCCGCAGCGGGGGACACTGACGGCAGCTGTGAGGTCAACGGCCGCCGGTTCCGTGACGGGGAGACCTTCCAGCCCCACTGCAGGGTTCGCTGCCGCTGTGAGGACGGCGGCTTCACCTGCGTGCCCCTGTGCAGCGAGGATGTCCGGCTGCCCAGCTGGGACTGCCCCCACCCCCGGAGGGTCGAGGTCCCGGGCAAGTGCTGCCCCGAGTGGGTGTGCGACCAGGCAGGGGTGGTGGGGGTCCAGCCCCTCCGGACCCCAGGTGAGTGCGGGGCTGGCCCGGCCTGTGCGCGGGGCCTCGGAGGTGTGGGACCCCGGGACACTCCAAAGGGAAGGTTTTACTCGCAGAAGGAGGGGGCAAGGGCCGAGGAGACGTGTGGGAAAGTGGGGGAGAGTCACAGGCCTCTTTAAAACCCACAAAACAAGAAACGGTGGTAGAAGTACCACCGCTTTGCCATTTTGGTCAAAAATAAATAAAAGTCAAAACTGTTGGCAGAGTGGTGAAGAAGGGGAAAGGGGGTTAGAATACTTGAATCAAATTCGCACATTTCACAGTAAAGTATATTATATATATTCTTATTATACTTACATTGATATGTATTCTATTTATAGACCATAAATATTAGATAATACATCATATTAATATCCTATTACTTGGGCTTATCAAAAGAGGAACTCCGAACCGGACATAGCGAAGTGGTTGCCTGGGTCACGGGCCTAGACTTTGTTATTGCTAGGTATTGGGGTTTTTTTAATTACTATTATACAAATGTGATTTGTTTTTAAAGAGGAAGCTGGAAAGGGGGTGCGGGCCCCGTAGATGACGGTGCGGTAGGGGAGGTCATACAGCATGGCGGGCGAAGCGTGCAGTCGGCCCGGGTTCGAGCCCAGTTCTACCACTTTCTAGCTGTGTGACTCCGAGAAAGGTGCCTCACCTCTCTGTGCCCCGGCCCTTCCGCTGTAAGATGACAGCGCCCCCTGCAGAGAGCTGCGGCAGGGCCTGGATGAGCGAGCACATGTAAAGCCACTGCGCCAGCACTCGGGGCTCCATGGGCCACGGCTGTCACTGCGCCAAACACGGAGTGTGACGCCCTGTTTGCCCTCACGGGAGCCGGCCATGGGTTCGCCTTATGTAGAAAAAGCAGGGTAGGATTTTAGCTCCATCATGTGTGTGCGTACCTGTGTCTGCAGGTGTGTACACACGTGCTGCACCCGTGTACTGTGACACGGGGTTTTCTCGCCTGGGAACTTCTGACGTGGGGGCTGGTGACTCTCTGTGAGGGCCCGTCCCCTGCACTGTGGTGTGTTCAGCGGCACCGCTGGCCTCTGCTCATTCGATTCCGGGAGCTCCGCCCCGGACTGTGACGACAAAAATGCCTCCAGGACCCTGGGGGACAAAATCGCCCCTGGCTGAGATCCACTCGGAAAAAGGACCCACAGGAAGGACACCAACATATTAGCAGAGAAGAATAAGACTTGGGGGGTCTGGAAAAAGCCAGACCCTGGTGAACCTGCCATTCTGTCCCAGACACGGCCTTGGAACCACTAGGGTTCCTGTGGCCAAGACACAGCCTGAGACACACAGGCCGCAGCCTCCCTGTGAAAGAGAAGCCCAGCGATTCCGGGGGGATGGGCCCGCTCAGCAGCATCATGTAGGAGGTGTTTGCAGGAACCCTACTTCCCCACCATTATTTTATTCCGTCCTAACCATCAGCTGTTAGGAGATTTACAGAGGGAGAAACTGAGGCCCAGAGAGGTTAGGCAACAAGACCAAGATCGACCACGCCACAGCCTCGTGGGCCGACGTGGCTGCCACGTCCTGACCGCACAGTGCTGACCCTTCTTTCTCCCCCGCAGGACTCCAGTCTTCTGGCCTGGTTGCTCTCCCACCTCCTGGGGTCCCCTGCCCGGCATGGAGCACAGCTTGGGGCCCCTGCTCCACCACCTGTGGGCTGGGCGTGGCCACCCGGGTGTCCAACCAGAACCGCTTCTGCCGACCGGAGACCCAGCGCCGCCTGTGCCTGCTTGGGCCCTGCCCGCCTGCCATGGGCCACAGCCCACTAAACAGTGCCTTTTAGAGCCAGGCCAAGCATCACGCTTGGGCCCCCATCTGGGCCCCGGGGGACAAGAATGGCCGCAAGCAGCCTGGTCTGTCTGGACCAAGACAGAGCAGGGCTGCATTCATTAGTCATGTTTCCTCTAACTCCCAGGCTGGGGGCTGGCCAGGTTTCTAGGGTCTTCTGGTCCATCCCAGCCTCCACACGGCCTTTACTGAACAGCCGCGTGCACCAGCTTTCCAGAAGGTGGGCGACCATCTCTCGTCTCGGGCAGGTACTGGGCAGGACTGGCTGTTTCTCGGGGGGTGTGGTGGAGAGGGGCACAGACCTTCCGACTCGCCTGCATCCTTCCCAGGGCTGATGTCGAAACGTCCCTGACTAGGTGCTTCTGCACGCACTGGGTGTCGGGCTTACCCTGTCTGAGAAAGCCCTCCCCAGCCTGGGCAGAACTCAGGGGCCGAGTGAATGCTTTGTGAAAACCGCGAGATGGAATCACTGTCTTGGCAAGAGTCAGAAAACAGGCCTTGGAGTGACCTATTAACTCCACACGTGTTAGTGAGAGTTACCCTTTCTCGAGCCCCTGCGAGGCGCCAGGCACTGAGCCAGTGACTGTGTAGACCAGTGTTTGGTGGCAGCCTGGACTCCAGAGAAGCTGGGAGGGGGGGATGTCCTCCAGGCACTGGGGACCTTGGTCTGAAATAAATCGACCTAAGTGCGAAGTTCTGTGCCGAGTCTCATGTTTTATTGTTAAAAACAAACAAACAAACAAAATCCCTATCTTACCTCTAAGTTTATGGGCTCTCTGTGACCTACTGCATTTGTTTAAAAATAAGAAGCATCTTCTTCAGGATTCAGCTAGGAAACTGGAAAGCCCACAGTTAAACACATCAGTCTTAGGCGTGTGGTTTAATGAGTCTCCACAACGTGCCCACCTCTGCAAGCCACACCTCGGTCAAGGTGTAAAGCATCTCCGTCATCTCGGAAAGTTTCCTCCAGCCCCTCCCTGCTCATCCCCTCCACTCCCCAGCTGACCCGATTTCTATCACCACAGATGAGTATTGCCTGTTCTCGAACTTCACATCAGTAGAATCACACAGTAGGCACTCTTTAATGAATGGCTTTTTTGGCTCAATACCAGCCCTAGGGTGGAGGGGTGGAGGGGTGGAGGAGCCGAGGGAGGGCAGAGCCCAGAAGTTGGGGGACCAGACACTAGTAGATGGAACCGCAGTGGGGCCGTGTGCTGGGAGCACCAGCCCCTGGGGTGACGCAGCCATGCAGACCTCACAGAAAGTTGACGAAGTTGGGGGGATAGACCCCGGCTTCTGCTCTCTCCTGTCCCCCAGTTTCCAGGAGGGCCTCCCATTGGTCAAACCTACTGAGAAGATGGAAGGGAGGGAGCCCGAGAATGCAGGGCTGGAGACACAGAGCAGAGCAGGGGAGCGCCGGCAGGGCCTGAGGGTGAGGGCAGGTCCAGCCCGTGAGGCTGTCAATGACCCGCCCACTCGGGTTCCAAGCCCCCGGGTACCCAGTTCGAGAACCACGGGCAGGATTGGAGCCACTTCATCTTCACAAAGCAGAACTGACTCTGGTTCTCAGTCAAGGGAACTGAGGGAAAGCGATCTGTCCAGGAGCAGCTGGGATGGGATTTCGGTCCACGCTTACGGTCTGGGGCTGAGCGTTTCAGCATGGGCGAACTCTGAACACATGGCCAGGAGAAGTTCTGCTAATATCCCGAGAAAGGAGGAGAGCAGGGAGCGAGGATGGATTCCTACAGGGCCCTCTCTGCGGAGAGCTTTACCCATATAATTGCGCGTTGCCCTGGGAACATCATAAAGGGAAAATGCTCTTGCTATTTCCCTCTTAGAGATGGGTAAACTGAGGCCCGGGGTGATTAACGAGTAGCCCCCAGGTTGCAGTGCTGGACTCTGGGCCAGGTTCACTGCAACCCACAACCTCACGCCTGAGCAGCTGCGAGCAGAGCCATGAAGAGGGGGTTCGGCCAATCTGCCTGGTTCTGGCTCTGCTGTTCCTACTGTGAACTTAGGCAGGGTGCTTGAGTTCTTTGCACCCCGGTTTTCTCTTCTCTAAAGTGGGGATAATGGCAGTAGCCAACGCAGAGGATTGTTGAGAGTATTATGTAATTTAAATAAAAGTTTTAGCTATTACACCCTGGCTGGTGTAGCTCAGTGGATTGAGCACGGGCCTGTGAACCAGAGGACTATGGTTCGATTCCCAGTCAGGGCACATGCTTGGATTGCAGGCCAGTTCCCAACAGGGGACACACAAGAGGCAACCACACATTGATTTCTCTCCCTCTCTCTTTCCCTTCCCCTCTAAAGATAAATAAATAAAAATTAAAAAGAAGTTTTAGCTATTACTAGCTTGTCTTGATTTCTTGGTGCTTTCATTTTTTCATCTGTAAAATGAACATAAATAATTAGTGCCCACTCTGGAGGGACACAGTGAAGAGTGAGTGTCCGCCACCCAGGAGTACTATAAATATCAGGTGAGCAATCCCTCCGTATTTGCCTTCTATGTAAGCCATTATCATCCTGCCTCCATGGTTCTTTCCAAGTCAGAGAGGGACGAGAAGGCAAGGGCTGGGATCTCATTTGTGGAGAAGAGGAGGAGGTGTTGGGGGTAAAGGTCCCCAGGTGAAAATCAGGCCACACCCACCGAAGCTCACAGCCAGAGGTACCCTGCCCTGGCCATTCCCATTATATTTGTACATTGTGTTCATGGTGTTGTAAGTTGTATCCATGTTGTTTCAAGTCACAATGACACGTTCTTTCTTTTACAATATCCTATTGTGGGAACATGCCACATTCTATTTATTCATCCTACTCTCCATGGGCACTGGGTAGTCTTCAGTTTGTTGCTATTATGAATAGGGCATTGTGAACATTCTAGTGGGTCGGTAAACATTTCTGTGGAACATACATCCAGAAGCAGAATGGCTTGGTTGGGGCCTGTGACCTTTCTCCTGGGCCGGGCCCTCTCCCTGTGTAGTGGAAGTCTTGACACGTGATAGGTGCTCAGTGGGCACGCATTGCAGTCATAATAAACCAGGAGCTAACATTTGCAGAGTTCTAACCACACACCAGGCTCTGTCCTAAGCACCTTTTATGCAAGGACTCACTTGACCCTCACTATAACCCCATAAGTATAAATATGCCCATTTCACAGACAGAGAAACTGAGGTGCGGAGAAATTAGGGAAATAGCCCAAGTGTACATAGTTCAAAGTTGGCAAAACCAGGATTCAAACCCAGAGAGCTGGCTCCAGAGTCTATGCTCTTGGCCACCAGGCTAAACTGACGAAAGCCACCACAGTGCTCAGGGCAAGGTGCCCAGGCCTGGAGGAGAAACTGCGAGAGTGGGAAGGAAGGAGCAGAGGGGAGGGTCAGCAGGGCCCGACCACGCCTGCAGATCCCGTATGGAGGATGGACGAGACAAGCAGGGGAAATGAGACACCAGATGCATCCCCGGTCTTTCTGCTGGAGGCCAGGGAGAACCGGGCCCACTGGCAGAAACCAGGAAGGGCAAAGGTGAGCCCCTCAGGTGGCAGATAAGAGGGGGCGTTTTAGATGGTTTGAGTCTGAAGAGGAAGCAGTCACCAGGACAGTGTGGCTGGAGATCAAGGTTGGGTCAGGTCTAACACAGAAAAGAGTTCAGGTGGAGAATTCGAGTCACCCGCATGGAGGAGCGGAGTGGGTGATCGGATGTTTACCGAGGGAAGGAGAAAACAGAACATGTGTATGTCAGCGTGCCTCATGACCTCCCATCACCTCAGTCCGACCCCACTGCCCCCGCTGGCCGGGTCACCGTTGGCTCTACCAGACGAGTGCCGCAGCCTCTTCCTGCCCTGCTGGCTTCCACTGCTGCTCCTAGAGTGCGCCAGAGGGCTGCCAGGAGAACCCGGCCCAGTCACACTGCTCCTTTTCCCTCTGAGAAGAGCCTCTGTGTGACCCACAAGCCCCTACTTGGCCCCTGCACCCAGTTACCCTCCCCCTGCTCACACCACTTACACCTCGTTGGCCTTCTTGCTGTTCCTTGAACGCATTAGAAGTACACCCACCTCAGGACCTTTGCACAGGCTGATCCCACTGCCTGACATCACCTTCCAGATGTCCCTGTGGCTCATCCCCTTGATGTCTTTCAAGTTTGACTCACAAGTCACCATTTCACTGAGAACTCACCCCGGCCACCCTCCACCAGTCTCCCGGATGCATGCCGCACATACCACCTTTGAACACCCTACATAACTTACTAATAACGTTTATTATTTGCTGCTGAACTTGACAAGCACCAGGACTTTTGTTCTGTTTGTTCAATGATGGATCCCCAAGGACCTAGACCTCAGGGCAGAGCCAGGCTCAGGTGTGATCAAATGAATGAAATAATATATCTTGGTTTTTTAAAATGAGATTTAATGGGCCTTAGGAGAGTAAATGTAGTTGACTCGTGGGAGTGTCTGCCCAGCTCACGGTGATTTCCCCAGGGCCACATCTGTGTGGGTCAGCACTCACCCACCATTCCCCACCATCCCTGATCCTCAACCTCGGTATTTCTCAGAATGGGGTTCCCAGACCAGAAGCATCAGCATCGCCTGGGGCCTGGTTAGAAATGCAAATATTTTGTAGCCCATCTCGGACTCACAGAAACTTTGGAGATGGGACCCATAAATCTGTGTTTTCAAACCCTTCATCTCATTAAAATCTACGTACAAGAATCAGAAGAAAACAGTGGTGCCCTGCTGCCCCCTTGTGGCACTTTTGCGCATGAACCGCGGAGAAGCCACCAGAAGGGAGGAGCCTTCTGAGACTGGTCCAGCTGCCTCCTCCTGTTTCCCAGATGGAGAAACTGAGCCTCAGAGAAGAGAGGCACTTTGGCCGCAGTCTGAGTGAGGCAGTGACAGAGCCAGGCACAGGCTTCTTTTCTATTTGTGACCAATGCAACAGCTTTCTTAAAATATTATTTAAACAGATGCCTATAATGGCCCCTACTGGGCCCTGAGCCAGGCCACCTCCATCTGTCCCCTGGCTGACTCCCTGGTGCCTCTGCCCACAGTCCAGCTCCCTCCTCCCACTGGCCACGCTGCGAAGCCAGAAGGATCTTTCTGGAGCACGGTTCTGGTTATGTCACTCTGCCGGAACCCCTCTGAGGCTCAGCACTGGCCCCTGGGTTCGGTCCAGACCCCTTGCATGACTCACAGGCCTGCTGGGCCTTCCAGACTCTTCAGTGCTCCAGCCACACTGGACAGCTCGGAGGGCTACCTGCTCTTGCCCAGGCCTTTGCCCCGGCTGTGCCCTCTGCCTGGGGCACCGTCTCCCCACCACCTGGTGGATCCCTGGCTACTCTCCACCAGCCCCAGTGGCCTGGCTCCCGTCCCCTGTCCCCTGCCCAGGTGCTCTCCTCCTACCACTGCCCCTCTGGCTCCCACATCTTCCATTTCTCCCATTCTTCCAGATCATTCCCGTCAGTGTGTACACACACCGGTCCTTTTTCTAGGGCTGAGAAGGGTACAGCCTTCCAGCCCATGCCCATCCCGGCTGCTCGGGTCGCAAGAGGTGAAGTGTCCTTTCCAAGGGGCACCTCCAGCAGCCTTACTGGGGGTACCTTGGAAAAGTAAGGCCACACATGGCCACTGTGTTTGATGTGTCATCAAAAAGTCCACCTGCCACTTCACGGTCTATGGCA